GTGTCCCCTGACCCTGGCAGTGTGTGTGTCCCCTCCCAGCAGTGTCCCCTGACCCTGGCAGTGTGTGTGTCCCCTCCCAACAGTGTCCCCTGACCCTGGCAGTGTGTGTGTCCCCTCCCAGCAGTGTCCCCTGACCCTGCCATGGTATTCCCTGGCCCTGCCGGTGTGTCCCCGTGTCCTGGTGATGTATCTCTGACCCAGCTGTTCCCTTGCAGACGGAGTGGTGCTCGTGGATCCCGAATACCTGAAGGAGAGAAAAGGTAACAGCTCCCCTCAGGATCGCTGGGGCCACAGAGGTGGCGCTGCCACAGGGGGTGGCTGGTGTCCTCACGTAGTCCTACCCAGGCATTGGCATCTCTGGGCTCTTGGGTGACATCTCCCAGCCCTGTGTCCCCACGGAGGGTGCCCTGTCCTGTTGAGGACGGGAGTGCTGTGGTGGGCACCCCAAGGCTGCTGCATCCCCATGTCCCCACCACGGCACGTCCTCAGGCCACCACTGCTTCCCGGCGCCGGTGGGACCGGCACGAGCCCCCACGGATCTCCCCGTGGTGCCCCCCTGGCACCACCCTGCCCTTGTCGCCCTGGCAGTGTTCGTGACGCTGACCTGCGCCTTCCGCTATGGCCGCGAGGACCTGGACGTGCTGGGGCTGACCTTCCGCAAGGACCTGTTCGTGGCCAACTCCCAGGCCTTCCCGCCCGTGCCCGAGGAGAAGAAGCCCCTGACGCGGCTGCAGGAGCGGCTCATCAAGAAGCTGGGCGAGCACGCCTACCCCTTCACCTTCGAGGTGGGGGGCAGCACCCCTGGGGCTGGAGGGGACCCTGACCCCTGCCCCGGGGACATTTCCTGCCTTCCAGCAGCCCCCCAAAAGCTCCTCACCCCTCTTTCCCCTCCAGATCCCCCCCAACCTGCCTTGCTCCGTCACGCTGCAGCCGGGCCCGGAGGACACGGGGAAGGTAAGGTCCCCCATGTTCCCGTGCCACCGGGCTGTGGTGGGTGGCTGCTGCTGGGGTCACCTCTTGGGGAGGTGCAAAGGAGTTTCCCTGCCTCCTTCTCCCCCCTTCCTGGTTTCCAGGCCTGTGGGGTGGACTACGAGGTCAAAGCGTTCTGTGCTGAGAACCTGGAGGAGAAGATCCACAAGAGGTGAGTGGAGAGGATCTGTCCAGCCTGGATGGGAGCGGCATCCCTGGGGTGCTGGCAGCAGGAAAGGGGCACCCTGCTTTGTTACCCACCTTGGGAGGGATGGGGCTGGGATGGAGGTGTCCTCCAGGATGCACCCGCTCTCCAGGGTAGTGCTGGGTCAGAGATGATCCTGGGGCTGGGATGGACACACTGTGCAAGGAGCCCAGGGGTTGCTGTGGGCAACCTGGCCCGGCCATGGGGCTGCCCCCTTGCAGCCCTGGTGTGCATCCATCTGAGGCCTCCCACAGCATCCTTTTGACACAGCAGACCAGAAGAACAGAGGGATTTCACCCAAAATGGGCCAAGAAAGGGTGGTCTGTGAGCGCCTGGTTCTCCTCTGGCTGTCTCCTGCAGGAACTCGGTGCGCCTGGTGATCCGGAAGGTCCAGTATGCGCCGGAGCGGCCCGGCCCCCAGCCCATGGCAGAGACCACCCGGCAGTTCCTCATGTCAGACAAACCGCTGCACCTCGAGGCCTCCCTGGATAAGGAGGTGGGCGAGGACCGGGGAGGGGACGCTGGTGGGGCGACCCTGGGGACCTCACCTTCCCCCTGCTCTGCTGCCCTGCAGATCTACTACCACGGAGAGCCCATCAGCGTCAACGTCCACGTCACCAACAACACCAACAAGACCGTGAAGAAGATCAAGATCTCAGGTGAGGAGCAGGGCCATTCCCCCCACCCCCAGTGGTGTCCCTGTCCCCATCCCTGTGCCAACCCCCATCTCTCTGTCTTACCCCAGTGCGCCAGTACGCTGACATCTGCCTCTTCAACACTGCCCAGTACAAGTGCCCGGTGGCTGTGGAGGACGCTGAGTGAGTGACGGCTCCTTGGGGACATGAGGGGCCCCAGAGACCTCAGGGGGCCCTTGGGGGAGCCTTGGAGATCTCCCGTCCCAGTGCAGCCCCGGTGGGACGTTGCACTCAGCAAGCAGGAACTGATGGGAGGAACAGGGAGATGGAGACCTTCCTTTTGGTGGCATCCTGGGGACATCACCCTCTGCATCCCCCAGGAAGGAGATGTGCACCAGGCTGGGGCAGGGATGGAAATGTGTGGAGAAGTTAACCAAGCTGGGATGGAGGTGTCCAGGGTGATCTGTGGGGGCTGTGGGCAGCTGGGGCTCTGGCTGATGGTGGCTGTCATCTCCAGCGATATGGTGGCCCCGAGCTCGACCTTCTGCAAAGTCTACACCCTGACCCCCTTCCTCGCCAACAACCGGGAGAAGCGGGGCCTGGCGCTGGATGGGAAGCTCAAGCACGAGGACACCAACCTGGCCTCCAGCACGCTGTGAGCCCCTCCACCCCCCAGGGCTCCTGTCCCCCTGGCAGCACGGGGGCAGGACCCAGCCCTGGTGGGCATCCAGCCCCTGTTCCAGGGGTGATGCTTGGGGTGGAGGAGACCCCGTGGGGGGACCTTCAGGATGACAGGGGGCCGGTCCCCATTGCTGTTCCCTCGCTGATGCCCACCTTCCCCTTCCCCCAGGTTAAGAGATGGAGCCAACAAGGAGATCCTGGGCATCATCGTCTCCTACAAGGTGAAGGTGAAGCTGGTGGTGTCACGAGGAGGGTGAGTGCCACACCTGCTCTCTTCTCTTGCTCTCCTTGGGGCTGGTCTGTGCTGCAGGTGGGGCCCATCACCCCTTAGAGCTCCCTTGGGACTCAGCAGCACACGGGGGGACAAAAGGTGGGGGAGGCTGCGTGTCCTTGGGGGGATGGTGACTAATGTGTTGTCTCCTTTGACCCACGCCAGCCTGCTGGGAGACCTCGCCTCCAGGTAACGCCCCGCTCCCCTCAACACCCCACAGTCCCTGCTGCAGCCCCCCAGTGGCACCCCCAGCCCCTCAGGGTGCTGCCACCCTGGCCCCATGCTTGTCCTTGGGGTGCCACTGTGCTGGGGACACTGTCTCACCCAAAGCCAAAGCCTGGCAGAGGTGGGTCGGGGTGGTGGGGCTGGGGATGCTGGCAGTGTTTGGACCCTGCATCCCCCTCCCCAGACCAGAGAGAGAGGCAGTGGGTGCTGCTGGGGACTGTCACCAGAGCATGGAGGTGGCTCCTTGGGATCTCTGGATGTGGGGAGGAGAGTCTCTGGAGCTTTCCAGGTCTCCATCCTCACGTTGCTCCCCAACCATGGGGTCCTGCAGAGGCCACAGGGCCTGCTCGCCCTCCCAGGGGGACACTTTTCTGTCTGAGCCCCATCCTACCCTGTCCCTGGAGCAGCTTGGGCTGTCCCACCCTGCCACCCCTGTGCCTGCTGAGCACTGGGAAACTTGTTGCACCTCCTGCTATTCCCATGGCACTGCCAGCCACAGCCTAAACCCAAGGGATTTGGATCCTTTAAGCTGCTAAAAGGCAGATTTCTGCCATGCTGCTCTCCCTCCTCGTGCCCCCCTACATCCCGGGGGGGGCTGTGCTGATCCCCCCCGGGGTCAAGCTCAGCCAAGAGGCACGAGAGCTGCCGAGCGGCTCTGTGGGGGATAACGTGGGGTTTTAGCAGCTCTGTGGGCTCTGCAGCGGCTGGAATGGCGGGTGCTGTTCTGCCCTTGCCCCCCACCCCCAGATCTGTCCCACCCTGCCTGCAGAGTGCAGGCAGGCCCCTGCTTTACCCCGGCATCTCTTGCAGCGACGTGGCGGTGGAGCTGCCCTTCACGCTGATGCATCCCAAACCCCGGGAGGAGCCGGCACACCGGGACAGTGAGTGCCCTGGGGGACGGGGGCAGCGTCCCTGGGGGGCAGGTGGGGGCACAGGGGGCCACTGAGGGTGCGTGGAGGGCGATTTTTGGCTCCTGTTGAGCCCGTGGTGACCTGTTCACTGGGTCCCAGGGTGCCCCCCCTCACATAGGGGTGCCCCCATCACCCTGGTGCAGCCAAACCCTGGGGGGTTGCACCCACTCAGTGGGACAGTGGTGATGACCCTAGGGGGGGTGTGTGGGATGGCGGTGATCACCTCATGACTGTGCCATCCCTCTGTTCAGTTCCAGAGAACGAAGCGCCCATAGATACAAATCTGATAGAGCTCGATACAAAGTAAGAGACTAAAATACCCCTCCCCGAGTTCCCATGTCCTGTGTGGGAATGCCGGACGTTGGCAACCGTTGCATGGCACCCCCTAACCCGCTAATGCCCGCTGTGCCATGGCATCACCCTGCACGTCGCCTGTAATGCATGACACACGCCATCCCCCTCTCTCTTCTCTCCTCCCTCGCCCTTCCCTGCATGGCTTTCCAAAAAACAGGAGAAACCGCAGTAAGAGCCCGCCGGGGTCGTGTGTTGGGATGGGAGGGGATTGTCCCCATGGTGTCCCCTGGGGCTGGTGGTGTGTTTGGGAGGTTCTGGGGTGCCTCACCCACCCAGCTCCTCCCTGCAGGGCTGTGGTTCCTCCGGAGTGGGGCAAACGCTGCCGATGGCCCTGGTGATGCTGCACCCGCCGCTCTGGGGCCCTGCATCCTTCCCTGGGGGGCTTGGGGGCTTTTTTTGGGTGCATTGCCCAACAATTGACAGAGCTTTGAGAACTACGGCTGTTTGCTGAAGGACGGGGGGGTTCAGGAGCCCCCTGGGCTGCCGGAACACCGTGGGGGTGCAGGCTGAGCTGTGCAGTGCGGGAGGGGGGCTCCCTCGCACCCCACCTTCCCCCGTCACACCCCGTCCCCGTGTCCCCCCCAGTGACGACGACATTGTGTTCGAGGACTTCGCCCGCCAGCGACTCAAAGGCATGAAGGACGACAAGGAGGACGAGGAGGAGCGGACAAACTCCCCGCAGCTCAACGACAGATAAGCGAGCTCCCCCCCGCTCGCCGCCCCGCCGCAGGGACACCCCTACATTAGGCTGCTTCTCTTTTCTATAATTAATTAATTAATTTTGTTTTCTACCTGTACCGGGAGCCTACGGATCGCCCGATGGCCACAGGACCTATAACCGTCCAGCTGTGCCGTGTTGTCACTCTTCATCCAGCTGCCAGAGCTGCTGTTTCCCGTGCGGGGCACGGCTGGGAGGTGCTGGAGGCAGGGGGGCTCGCTCTGACCCCGTCCCCGTCCAGCCCCTTGCCACTTCCCATCCCAGAGCCCTTTCCTATGAGCTGCCTCTTTTATGTGTTTTATATAAGCCCAGTCTCAACACCAGTTTGCTATGGGGAGGGGGGGGTTGCAGCAGAACAGGGGGGGTGTCTTTTTTGGGCAGCCTTCTCATGGGAAAGGGCACCTGTGCACCTCGGTGTCCCCTCCTCTCCCCCACGGCCAGTCCCCCCTGTCCGGCCCTGCTGCATGTGATCCCTCCCTGGGATGCACGAGCCTGGCTTTGACTATGGCCCCTGCCCCAGCTGCTCCAAACCAAGCGGGTGGGCAGCACCCCCTGCTCTTCCCCCCAAGCCCCCAAGGCAGCCCAGCCCAGGGGTCCTCCCAGCTGAGTCCCTTCCCACAGTGGAGCTGCCAGGGCTGGGTCTCAAATGCCTCTTTGCAGCCACGGCAGGGTCGTGGTGACACCAGGGATGCTTTGCTCCTCCCGAGCTGCAAAGCCCCCCTGGTTGATGTTTTCCTCTCCCTGCATGGGGTCCAGCACCCATTTGGGGTAGGGGAGAAGGGGAGCAGGGTGTTTGCCACCCTAATCAGTATTTCAACAGATTCTTGTGCCCCGTGGGGTGGTGGTGTCTGGACTTCCCCCCCCAGGGTCTCAGGTCTCCCACCACCCCCTGAGAGGCCATTCCCAGTATTTATTGTGCAGTTGCAATCAGCGTTGTCATCTGGGAGCATTCTGGGGGGTAGCTCCATCCCTCCCTCCCAGTCTGTGGGGTGCTGAGTTGAGCCCCCCCCCCGTTATTTTTGGGTAAAGCTGAGGGGCAGCGTGGTACTTCTTTTTGTAAAGTGGTTCCTTTGTACTGATCATTGATACTGGCTGCTTTGGTTTCTTCACCCTGTCTGTGATGTTTCTGTGTTCTGTCGAATAAATTATTCTAGTTTATTAAACTCAGAAAAAAAAAAAAAAGAAAAAATGATAAAATAGTCCCGGCCTGAACACTTTTGTTGGCTCAGGACAGGGGAGCTGGCACAGGCAGAAAGTCCCACAGTCATGGAATGGTTTGGGTTGAGAAGGACCTTAAAGCTCCCCTCACCACGCTGATGCTGTGGGGACAGAGGGACCGTCCTTAAAGTTGGTCCATCTCGGCGTGTCCATGTTTTTGCTGGAGGCAGGAGCTGTCCCAGCCTTCCCCACCAAGGACAAACCTGGCTCCAGCAAAGCCAAGGTCTCCAGTCACACAGCTGGACTCTGACCCCACACGGGCTGCTGGGGGCTCCACGTGGTGCATTCCTGGGAGCAAGGTCCCTACTGCCCACTGCGATTTGCAGGGTCACGTTTACAGGGAGGTCCCTCCTCTGTGCGTAATCCCTTCCCACAGCAGCTCTGAGTACTTCATAGTCTGGACATCTCCAGTCTCCTGTTGAATCTGGTTCAAGCTGGACAAGAAGGGTTAAGTTATTTTGGGAGAAAAAAGGGGAAGTTTAGATGGGAACAAACCATGCTGTTGCTTAAGCCCCATTTCTTTTGAAAGCCAAGCAAATTTGGTTCCCTGTCCTTGCTGAGCTACCTGCATCACCATGGTGTGGGAGGGATCAGCAGCTCCACCACATCTGGCAAAAGAGGCAGTGAGGAAGCACCTCGGGTGCTGGGAAGGCTCCAGTGGTCTTCTCTCCTCCTCAGAGCCCACCTCCTCCACGGCCAGACCTTCACCCTGTGGGTGTCTTCCCCAGGAAGGAAGAGCCACAGCAGCCGAGCTCTGCACCTTCTGTTTGCCAAACCAACTGCTCCAGGGGTGCTTGAGGAAAACCCACTGAGCTCCAGGATCCCACTCTGGAAACCTCATGTCTGTGTACCCACAGGCTGCCTGGGGTTGCTGGGTTGTGGGGCTGCTGCAGGTCCCCATCACGGGGCAGAAATGCCACCTCCTAAACTCAGGAGCCCAGAGGTCTTGCTGCAGGGGAAGAGCAGGCTCAGCTCTGCCACAGCAGGAAGGAACTGACTCAAGAGCAGATGGAGAGCCAGGAGGCCCTGGTCAGAACCCATTCCCCCCAGTCTGACTCTGGCTCAGCTGGACTGGTTTTGCTGTGGACCCTCAGGGGTGGAAAGGAGGCTCAGTCCTATCTGCAGGAGTGCCCAGCTTCTCCAGGGCTCAAACAGGCTTTTCCCTTTGCTGCTGCTGGTGACACAGCCCCATGGCTTCAGTAGGTGACAAAGCATCAAACCCCTGGCCTCGGGCAGGACACTCTGCCCCCGTTTCACATGCTGCCAGGGGAAGTTCTGGGACTGGAGTGGAAGTGCTGACATGGCCTGTGCTGGGAGGAGGATGGGGCAGGCTCCAGCCTCAGGCACACAGCTGTTGCCATGGCACAGGTCAGTACAGCACATTCCCAGTGTAAGGTTTCCCCAGGTGCTCCTGAAGTACAGCCCTCACTGCACCTCACCTGCTTTCAGCCCCCCTCGTCCCAGCTGACACCACCCAGAGCAGCAGGGAGCCTTTTGCAGGCAGATTTTTTTCTCCCCAGGTAACACCTTGGTAACAGCGTGGGTGTTGCAGGAGTCATTGCCTGCTTCCTCAGCCCCGGAAATCACATCAGCTCCATCAAACCTAAACTTGCAATTGGTGGGAAGAGAGCCAAAGGACACCAATGCCTGTCTTAGGCCAGGTGCTCTCAGGGTGCAGAGGGGGAGGGTAGAGCTTGGAGCAGGCTGGGGCTAGAAAGGTTGTTCCTGTTGCTCTGGCAGGCTGCAAGCTGGCTCTGTGGTCACACTGCAACTTCCTGAGTGGAGGCTGCTGCTCGTGACACATGCACGTGACAAATGCCAACACCCCTCGGGGAGTGCAGCCTCCCCTTGGTGCTCTGGGCCTGGAAAACAGCGGGGAAATATCCCACAGAACAGCCTGTTTCCTCAAACTCCTGGTTTTTTAATCAAATCCCAGAATGGTTTGGGTTGGAAGGGATCTTAAAGCTCATCTCGTTCCACCCCCTGCCGTGGGCAGGGACACCTTCCACTGTATCCCAGGCTTCTCCAAGCCCTGTCCAACCTGGCCTTGGACACTTCCAGGGAGGGGGCAGCCACAGTTTCTCTGGGCAACCTGTGCCAGGGCCTCCCCACCCTCCCAGGGAAGAATTTCTTCCCAATATCCCATCTAACCCCACTCACTGGCAGTTTGAAGCCATTCCCCCTTGTCCTGTCCCTCCAGGCCCTAGCCAGAACCACAGGCACAGCTCTCATCTGAAGGCTGGTACGCAGGAGAACAAGCAACACAACCAAAATTTTTACTATTAGTAAAATAGAACCTTTACAGTTGTTTCTGCTCACTACAACAGCCTCCAAACAGTATCTGCAGGCAGGCAGACACCCCACAGCCCACGCAGCTAGAGCAGGGGCAGGAAACACACCCCACCTCACCACAGCACCGTCTACCCACACTTCCCTCAGGGCTGCACCCAGTCCCAGACGTGCAGGGAACCGTCGCTCGCCGCAGACAGCACAGTGCGGGGTTTCTGCGGGTGCCACGTGTGCACAGTGACCAGGGCAGGGTCCCCACTGCCGCCCAGCACGTGGCCTTTGTGAACAAAGACGGGCTCTGCTTCCCTGCCACAGCTGTCCCAGCTCTGCGTGTCATACACGTGCACAGTCCCATCAAAACCTGGGATAAAGAGGGAGTCAGAGAGCGCAGGGATTAACTGCTTTGCTCTGGTCTGGCTGGGCTCGGGCTCACCTCCCAGCAGGAACAAGGACAAACAGCCCAGACTGGGCTGTGAGAGCAGAGCAGCCATGCCTCTGAGGAGCACAGCTCAAGTAAACAGAGCCCGGGTCAGATCCCAAAAGCTTGTGGAGTGACCAGTGTGAATGTGAAGGCTCTGGCCAAGAGGCAGCCCTGCTGCCCAGCTGGTGTTATCAGTGCCATGCCCTGCAGCCAGGCTGTCGTGGGCATTGTCAGGGCAGTGCCTGTGGTGGGCCTGGAGACTTTGATCACCCGAGAAGGCAGCAGGCACCTCCCAGAACCCATCCAGGCCCCTTCTGGAGTTGCTGGGGAGAGGCAGCTGCAGAGCACGATCAGCTGGATCTCTGCTGGCTCCAGGGGCAGCTCTGAACAGCCACCCCATCACTGGGGGGTTTCAGGTGGGGTGAACCGGGCCCTGACAAAAACACAAATCAAAAAAGCCCCCAGAAAAGGAGATGTCTGCCCAAAGCACCTACCTGAAACGGCAAGGCAGCCTTGCAGAGCGGGAGCCCAGGACACGCACAGGAACTCGGCGCCCGAGCCGGGAGAGGGGACTCTGGCCGTGGCCGAGGCCAAGGGCTCGGAGGCTTTCCTCAGGTCCGTCAGGGTGAGGAGGCCCCTGCTCGAGAGGCGAGCCACGGGCTGGGTGCCCGTCCCCGAGCCCTGGGCGGCACAGGGGGTGCCCAGGCACCAGCGGTCCCCGGCGGGCGCGGCGGGCACGGGAAGGGCCGTCAGGGCTCCCTGCGGCTGCCGCAGGTCGGCCACGCAGAGCCGGCCCCGCACACAGCACAGCAGCGCCGTGCGGCTGTCCAGGAACGCCAGCCCCGCCAGCTCCTCCCGGCACAGAGAGCCTGCAGACACAGCCGGGGCTCAGCGCTGCTGCAGGGCCACGCTGCAGCCCTGCCCGGGGCAGCCAGCGGAGTGTACACTCAGGGGGCACAGCTCACAGCCCACAGCAGCCCAGGGGAGCTGCTGGAGGCCAGAGCAGGCCAAGGGGATGCTCCAAGGGCTGGAGCCCCTCTGCTCTGGAGCCAGGCTGGGAGAGCTGGGGGGGTTCACCTGGAGAAGAGAAGGCTCCAGGGAGAGCTGAGAGCCCCTTGCAGGGCCTAAAGGGGCTCCAGGAGAGCTGGAGAGGGACTGGGGACAAGGGATGGAGGGACGGAACAAGGGGGAATGGCTTCCCAGTGCCAGAGGGTAGAGTTAGATGGGATATTGGGAAGGAATTTTTGGCTGTGAGGGTGGGGAGGCCCTGGCACAGGTTGGCCAGAGAAGCTGTGGTTGCCCCATCCCTGGAAGTTGGACAGGGCTTGGAGCAACCTGTTCTAGTGGAAGGTGCCCCTGCCCACGGAACCCTCTGGCACACACCTGAAGGTACCTGCTCAGTGGAACGTTTGCTACTCGAGCTTGCTTTGCCCAACCCTCCCAGCTCCAAACAATCAGACATTAGGCTTGCTTCAAATACCTGCTGTGTAGACGTTTTTCCTCAGCTCCAGCTCTGTGATTTGGACGCTGTCCAGCGTTGAGCCATGAAGGACCCAGGGGGCTCTGGCCGAAGTGGTGGCAATTTTCGCCCAGGGCTGCCCTGTGGCATTTTCTGTGGCTATGGTGCTCACAGATTTAATAACATCTGCCAGGAAGAGACAGAAGCAGCTGTAGGACACATGGGGAGCCAAGCAACCCAGCAGATTAAGCTGTTTCACAACGACGCCTCACACAGCTAAAAGTGACCTACTAAACCAATAAGAAATCTTATCACGCCTGACCCCCTCCCCAGGATAAATTCCCTCTTTCCCACACATCCAGCATGGACTGACAATATGCAGAACAAAATGCCTGGCGAGCTGTGAAGGGGGAGCTGGAGATGTTTGATGCAACGACTACACTGAGAAACCCCGTGAGCTCAGAAACATGTCCCCTTACCAGAGTCCTCTGCTGACACCTGCCAGACCTGGAGGGAGCTGTCGGGGGGGCCACTTGTCACCAGCAAGCTGAGGAAACAGGAAGGGTCTCACAAACCTCCTCAGGAGCAGAGAACAGTCCCGTTTACCCCAAACGAGACAAACTGGTCTGCTCCTCCTGTGAGCAGGAGCTTTGCCTCTGCTTGGAGCAGAGCAGGGGCTGGAAGGACCATAATCTTGTGCAGGGTGCTCCCCACAGCCCAGGCAAACACAGCCCCAGGCAAAGGGCCTTTACGAGGGTATTTTATGGGGATATGATGAGGAGTGGCTGAGGGAGCTGGGGGGGCTCAGCC